TAACCATAAAAACTTAGATATTTATATTAGAAAGGTCCAGAAGTTATTTCCATAGGCTTCTAAAATAGATTGATTACTTTTTGAGTCTAGGAACACTTAAGAACCAGGCATAATACTAGCAATTATATTGGTCTCTAAGTTAGGTTAAACAAGATTGGTCAAATTTAAGCTCATATAGTGCATCTAATGTACATGATTTACATCAAGTTCTAACACATAAGATAGTGTAGAGCAATGTAGACCACTTGAACTTTGATTCTTTCTTCTTTTAATTCTTCATAGCAAATATCTTCTTTGTTGGAGGGTTGTAAGTTGATTCATGATGATTGATAACTGCCCAATCATTTTATCCATGTATAGCAATTTGCTCAACATTTCTTAGCTCAGTGGATACAATCACAAACTTAATTACTCTTATTAAGTTTTTTTTATCATGAAAACACATGAGACCAATAAATACAACTATGTAGCAAAACATTTCTTTAAGACATTGCATTTTTGTTCATTTTGAAGGATGTAACTATTCAACATCATGTGTTGCAATGACCATCAAAAAATCTTCTTCATAAGTCTCTAAACTTTTTCACTAATACAATGATATTACTAATACAATGATATTGCATGGGCTATGTTATTTAATGACCTTGAAGTTGAATTTAATTAACAAATTTAGCAACATTGGCATATATCCATAGTTAAGAATTTCTTTTATCATTGTAAATCCAAGTTGATATGATTGGTTGAAGTGCCCCTTCTTCTGTTTACTCTTCATTAGAATATCTTTAAACTTCAAAGTAGTATTCGGATTGTTATTAGAGAATATGTTTGCAAGTGCTTCATTCCAGTCTAGACCATTGGTACTTGTGATTGCCTCTATTATTGATGATTAACTAATGTCAATGTAAATTTCTTTTAACTCTTCCACTAGCTCAATTGTAGGCAATGATAGTACTATTCTATGTTTTGAAGGAATATACAACTAAAGATCATTAAAAGAGACAGTAATTTTCTTATTAGTTGATAGTGCATTATGGACATAATGAAATGGATTAAAAAGAAGGTTTTTTGAGTTTATGAAGAAAAATACCTATTATTGCAAGATATCTTAAAATATCACATGGTAAACAATGTTTTAAGTGAAAACGTTGAGTTGACCATCTTTATTTTAAATTAAAATATTTAATCCAAATGAAAAGGTTGTATGGTATATAATAATATACTGTTGTCCATGGGAGAATACAAGCCTATGCAAGTAAACACCAATATGTTGAAATGTCATCCTTGATTCTTATTGATGATTATAATAATGGGTAAAGTCTTAAACCTCCCTTAATGTTTCTTGTAAATACTAAAACTACCCCTTTCTTTTCAAAATGACCTAAGACCACCCCTATCAAATGCATTAGTTGTTAAGTTTAATAGATAATTTAAAAGATATTTCACCCTTAGTTATTCTTTAAATTTTTAGAAAAATAAAGGTATCAACCAATAACAAAAGAAAACAAAGATTTATAATAGTCTTCTTTGAGCTTAACAACTTATAATTCTTTGTCGTCATCAAGGGATTTATTAATTGGAAATACTTCATAAGTGATTAAAGCACTAAAAAGTAAAAAATGATAATTAGATGAACCAATTTGACTAAGTTATTCAATAAGTTGTATCTATTGACCCTATGTTTTTTTTATAATAACAAACACATTGAAAGTAACAAGGACGAAGATCCAAAAGTGATATATATGATCAAGTGGAAGCTTTGCTAAGTAGTTGCTCTCATGCTTCAATGTGAATCTATACTACATCATCATTTCTCTAGCTAAGGAAGCTCCAAGAAATCAAGCATCAAGGTTGTTCAAAAACTTAAAGGCTTTGGAGTTGCTAAAGATTGATATGTTACAACAACTCACCAAAGAGTCAAGTTTTATACATCAAGTTGTATTTATTTGTTTTTATATTTTTTAGAATTTTGAAGTAAATAAATTATATGATGCACCTCATAGATGCTCAACAATACTAAACTCAATAATCCTTAGAAACTATAATCCTTTTAGGTTTGGTTTCTTATCTTTCTTGAGCTTAATCATGTTATAAAAATTAGGAAAAAATCTTTGAAATCTAAAGTAAAGGTTTTCAAACCTCTAGGCAAAATGTGCCAAGGTTTCTAAGTGTATCGTTTCTCTATCAAGAAAATTTGACTTGGCTATGAAAAGTAGTCAACTCTTTAGATTGATGTGTTGACTAATTGTGACAATGGAGGCATGCAAATTGCTCAATTTAAGGCCATAGGTGATGTACAATGAAAAGACAGGAAAGTATGTAATGTGGATGCATATTGATGATGTCAACTATACCAAAGCATCTGTGGGTGTAACTGTTAGCAATTCTCCAATAGGCCCTTTTGAGTACCTTTACAACATGCAGCCCCATGGTTTTGATAGCAGGGACATGACGATAACAGTGAACTTCACATTGGGCCCCTCACTGATGATTATCTTGATGTCACCCATATAATGAGAAGGATTCTGGTGTGAAAACATAGAGAAGCCCCTACCATATTCAAGTATGATGGAACTTACTACATGGTAACATCAGGTTGTACAGGTTGGGCCCCAAACAGGGCACTTGCCCATGCACAGAGTCGATCATGGGCCCCTGGGAAACCATGGGGAATCCCTGTTCCTTTTGAAATCAACTCAGTAATTCAGCCAAGCATTGTCTGACCATATGGGATCAACTTCTTATCCCTCTTCAGTGTGTCTTTTAATTATTTCTCTAAAATTTCTTTGATATCTTCAGGAAAGTAAATCTTTTTAACTGATCTAATTTTCTTGACTTCCTAACTGAAGTAAAATTTTCAGCTTCTAGATGGTGTGATCACATGTATTCATGTCTGCCTAAATGCCATCAAATGTCAATTCACACATGTATCATACATATATCATGACCATGTAGTTAGATGGGCATGCATAACTTATATATATATAATACCAAATGTACCCATTAACCATCAAGCATCTACATAAAGTTGTTATTAATACCCCCTTAGCAAAGGCATGAAAACTTCAGCTTATGATCATCCCACCTCATGCTTGATAGGTGAGAGCAAGGGGACAAAAGAGCTGGTTCAGCTTTTATCCTTTGCATTTTATTTTTTTTTATTAATAGGTAAGAGCAAGGGCAGCAAATCTTAAGTTGGCAGATGCTGGGGAAATCAATTTGATGGAGGGACCAAACCAGATATTCATATACATTTTCTTGCTGGGGCTGCACCAAAGAATGGACCCTCAGCTGGTGTGATCTCAGTAACATCACTGGTGTCACTCTTCAGTCAAAAAAGAGTAAGAGCAGACACAACAATGATAGGAGAGATGACACTACAGGGTCTGGTATTACCAGTTGGTGGCATCAAAGATGAGGTAGGTGGGTGTTGTTATACACATTTATGTAAACTTGTTCTACTACTGGTAAGAACAATCTGATAGCAATGGCTGCTTTGATGTATGTGATTCACATATTACACCAAAGAATTGAATGATGGGTTGCCTCTTGGTCACATGATTCATATTGGCTCTGACCATCAAATGTTCTGTCTACTTCTGAATGTTCAATACTTTTTTTTGTGGGGGAAAATAAAGTTTGCCGATTGAATAGGTAGAATCTTTTTGACTTGGGCCTACCCCAACAGAGGCAGTTTGTATCTTGAATCCTGGAAGACTGAAGTATTCATATCATGGGCCATAAAGGCATTGTTCCTGAGGCACCATATACATTTTTATCTGAAAGAGACAAAGCCACAAGACCTAGGGAACTACTGGGGAAGCCAGTAGTTGAGATGGTCATTTGGTGTTCCTCCAACAGCTCACGAGGGATGTTACTCTCATCGTTCAACAGCTCATGAGGGTACAAGGCTTTGGCTTCCACAATGAACATTCTTTTCAGATGGATTCCAAGGTCAACCAACTATTTTGCTGATAGTCTTGCAAATGGCAAGCTGAGTTGATTTGATTGTGTCATTGTGTGGGAGTTATTCTCTCATTAATGCAACTCTTTAGACTCCACCAGAGTGTCTACCTAATCCAGACTATACAATAAGTATAATATTTATTTTTGTCTTTTTTTTTTCTTTTTGATAAAACCATTCCTATTTTTCTCTCTTGCCATAAAAATATCTATTATTCTCATGGTATATTATTATCATATTATAAAGTCTAAATGTGTCAATTTAACAAATAATTAGATTCATTGTCAAATTCCAAGTAAAAAGTATAGTTTAGCCATGGTTCAGTACTGGTTCTACACTAGGGATGGATTTGAGTTGAGCCGAGCCGAATATCTGGCTATTTGAGATTCAAGCTAGAGACTTGAGATCGAATTTGACTCAGCTCAGAAGCTCATACGTTCGAGCTCGGCTCGACTCAAGCCCAATTGTGAGCCAACCTTGCTATAAAAATAAATTTTTTTTTTTATTTTACATACAAAAAATTAAGAATTATAAAATTATTTATTATCATATATATAAAAATAAAAATACTATATCTATAATCTTTTATTATACATATAAATATAAAAAAAAATAAGAATTATAACAATTGTTTATTATTATGTATAAAAAATAAAAATATTATTATACATAATAATAAAAAAGTATTTATTATATATATGCATGTATGTGTGTGTATATATATATTAGGCTCAATTAAACTCGTGAGCCTCACAGGCCGAGTTTCACTTGGCTCAAGCTCGAATAGCTCTGAAAATCTGGATACGTTTCCACCCCTAATCTGTACATTTATTCATTAGGATAATATTGGATCCACCCTGATCCGGATCAGACCCAATCCATTGACCACTTCCCAAGTCCCAAGATCATAGTAGGCCGGTCAAACCAAACCCAGAGTTCTGGATCCTTCCGGTTTCAGGCCACCGGGTTGGTTCAACAAAATGGCGTTTTTTAATGTGGTCCGAAACCACGGAGAAGTAGCTACATTGTTTTAGGCTTTTATAGCCCTTAGGGAAGAAAGAGAGAGAGACAAGGGTGGTTTGGGTTACGGCGGAGACCGGAGAGAGACCAATTCGCACGCTCGCAAGCCGACGATGGGGAAGACTCCGGTGCGCATGAAGGCGGTTGTGTACTCACTTTCCCCCTTCCAGCAGAAGGTGATGCCTGGGCTTTGGAAGGATTTACCCGACAAGATTCACAAGAAGATCTCTGAAAACTGGATCAGCGCCGTTCTCTTGCTTACTCCTCTCGTCGGCACATACACGTTCGTATCTTTTACTCCCTTTGTTCTTTCTTTTTCTCTCTCAAATTGGATTCTGTGGATACCCAGAATTAAACTAGGGTTCTTGTGCTTATTGATAACTATATATATACATTTGATTGACAACATTAAGCGTTCAAAAGGATTCTTTTTTTGGTTTTACATGGTAGGTGTTCCTTCAGAAGGTGGTTATTATGTCTTATGTTTCTGTTAGTCGTTTGGATCTGTTTCGTTGAGATTTTGTTGAATACCGAGAATCAAATTAGGGTTCTTGTACCTTTTAATAAAACGTTCTATTAGGAATTGGATTTTTGTAATTCTTTGAATTTCTTTGGTTTTACTGGGTTGGTGTTCGTTCCTAAAGTGGTTATTATGCTTTTTGTTTATGTTAATCACTTAGTTGTTTGGATCTGCTCACTTCATTTCATTGTTGTTGAAACTGGGAGAGTTTTTGTAGATAAGGCATATACAGTTAAATTTATATAGTTCCACCTTTGGGTCTATCTGTTGTTTGGTCCCTTGTTTTTTGGATATTTATGCATCTCAAATTTTATTCAATTTTGCTTTTCTGTGCTTGTGTTTAAGAGTACTACTGTCTGAGGAGGATTGGGTGACGCTGTTGCTTACTTCATTAGAGGAAAAATTGTATGTGGGGGGTGGGTCCTGACAATCCAGTCAAGTTCAACTTCCACCCATATGTTTTTGTTGATATGATCTGCTTTGTGGGCTAATCTACAAAATGCTCTATGCATACTGGGATTACACGTGCCTCCTTCTCCAGATAACAAAGAAATTAATAAATTATAATCTAATATCAAGTTTCTCGGGATTACTTTTAGCTCATATCTATTACTTTCCCTATAAGGATATAAGAAAGGCTTTCATTTTGATGGATTTTGATAGAAACACATGGGAAAAGAAAAAGAAGATATGGTATTGGGAGCGTGTATGTGAACGTCCATAAAGAAGAAAGGAACAGAATAAATTCAAACTGTGAAATTTCAACTCAATGATTTACGAATCTAGATGTGTTATTCTCAACAATTTTTAGGGGATCAAGTATTCATCTCTCGTTTTACATTTGGGACTTCATATTACAATGTGTAAATTTCAGTTGATTCTTTTTCAGGTAAGACCTCTCACTGGTTGTCAGTACAATTCTTTCCATTACCATTTTCCGTATTCTACCTACATGGGATCAGCAATTCGTGTGCTGTTTTTCCACTCCTCTCTAAAACCCATATCTATAAATGTATAAGAAAAAGCTGTATCTGTATGTGTCTGGAGATTTAAGACATAAGACAGAGAATTAAGTTGCCTAGTCTTTAGTTATGGAAGGTATTTTGATCTTTGTATGATATATGATTATGTTCTACTTGTTTTTGTACTGTAAAAAAATGTTTTTAGAGAAAGTGTGGTTTTGGGGAGAAACAGTGCAAATGGATTTTGGGATGCATTCAAATGTGTCATTTTTAGTTTTGGCTAATGGGATAGTTTTTTGTAGATCTATTCCCCCTAAGATTGGAGCTTTTAGATGGAAGGTTTATCATGAAAAGATTTAACACCTGTTATTTGCTTCTAGAAAGGAGGCTTCTATCATGCTTATCCCCCTCTTGGTGGGTCATTTGCAAAGCTAATGGTGAAACCTGCTATCACTTACTAATCTTCTATCCATTTGTTTATATATTTGGGATTGGTTTTTCTCTCTGTTTGATTGCAAGTGGATGTTGCCATCTTGTGTACCAAATCTTTTTGCTCCCTGAACTTTTTGTGGCCAAAGAAAATGGAGAAAATTATGTGGAGTTGCATTAGAGCTGTATCTATTTAAGCTATGTTTGGGAAATAAGTGGTTGGTCAACTCAAATAAATACTTATTAGTGCTTGGGAGGTCTTTTTCAAACTGCTTATATTCATATAAGTACTTATTTGTGCTGAAGTGTTTGGTGAGCTTCTTATCCTATAAGTACTTATTTTTGTGAAAATGACAATTATATCCCTAACTTAACATAGCCATATGTTGGATATTTTGGATATTATATTGACACACTTGGATGAAAACAATAGGGTGAAATCGCCCTGGTTGCCAAAGCTGTAAGCAATCCAAAAAATGGGAGATCTGATATGAGTGACATGAGAAATATGGAAAAATGAAAAAAAATAAAAAAAGGCAAGAAGATGGGTGAGATCGAACCTGTATGGGGGAGAAACCACCCAGTTGCCACTGCCTGCAAGTATGGAGGTGATTTGGGAGAGAAACAATAGGGTTTCTATTGTTTTGAGAAGACAGGCAATTTTGGAACTAAGCAAAGTATTGGGGACACTCTTGTCCTAGTAAATTCAAAAAAGTACTTAAAGAAGCCACTCAAGTCTTATTTTTTTTAAGTAACTTATTTAAAAAGTAAGCACTTATTTGCCAAATGTGTTTAATCACTTAAATGGGCTTTTTGTGTAGTCCCAGCACTTAAATAAGTGCTCCCAAAGACCAGCTGGGAAGAAATAAATGCAAGGATATTCCACGAAAAGGAAAGAAGCAAAGTTCTTGTATCATAAGCAAGTGTGGTCTGTTGCCTAAAAATGGAAATCTTTTCCCTTCTGCCACAGAAGACATCAAGAGAAAATGGAAAGAATAGAAATATCAATCTTAAAAATGGATAAGATGCATAGGGATTGGACAGCACCAGAAAAAAGATTTTGTTAATTGAATTTTGATCGGAGAAACATGAGGAAACCAGGAGACGGTCAAAATAAAAAAAAAAATGGGGAATCCAGGGTATTCTGTAATAGGTGGAATATTTAGAAATGAGGAGAGCCATTTTTGTGGCAATAATCTCAGGACCAATTGGCATAGGAGACTTGTTAAGGGCTGAAATTATGGCAGTTATGGAAGGGGTGAAAATGGTTAAGATGATGAATATAAGAAAGTTGATTATGAAGGTATTCAAAACTCGTGGTAGCATGGCTAAAGAATGATGTGATGATGATGGTCCATGGTCTTTCTGAAATTAATTCAGGAAGTTTAAGTGGCTAACTAGGGAGATGGAAGTAAGATCTCAATGGGTGCAAAGGTCAGTTAATAGCATGCCTGATGCTTTAACAAAGCAAATGACGGGGAGAGATCAAATGTTTTGGGCACAACTGTAAAAGGGAAATGAAAAGAAAAAGAGAGAGAGGTCTGTCAATGATTGTATATCCCTGCCTAATAAAATTGATGGTTATTGATCAGGAGATCAGGAAAAAAATGTTGTAAGTAGACATCCTGTACAGCATTATCTATATAGTGCATTAGCGGAGGGGTGGGGTGGTGGTGGTTTGATTATAATGAGTGGGAGCAAGGTTCAAAATATCGATACAGGACAATATGCCTGCTGGTTGGGGCATATTTGGCCTGTATTGATGTTCACTTTTATTTTTTTTTAGTTTTTTTTTTTTTTTAAACTGGTTCAGAGGGATCAGTTTAAGGCCCATGTACCCCCTGAACCAGGTCAGACCCTGAAAACCCACTGTAGGGGTGTATCGGGAGGCCACCGATACAATACGTAGCGGCTGATACGGCATACATATTGATATTTTGAACCTTGAATGGGAGGCTGCAATCAGCACCTAGATTTGATTTATATGCACCAAATACATAAGTTCTTTTCTTTCTTTTTTTTTTGGCTTAATCGGGCTACACAACGAGGGACAGCCATCCCCCATCCCCTTAAAGCTCCCAACCATGGTAGCAGCAAGATTTGATCCTAGGTCTCTGCCACTAGGGCTGTTCACGGGTCAGGTTGGGTCGGTTTACTGGTGTTTTTCCAACCGAAACTGACCTGGACGGTTTGAATCGGTTTGGGTCGGTTTGGTGATTGATTCTCTTGGTGTGAATGGTAAAGGATTCAAGTCTAAGAAAGCAAAGGCTGGATGCTTGGAAATTAAAAATGATTTGATGGATTAAAACTGATATTTTATATATCAGAAATTTTATATATAATATATATCTAAGTAGGTTTGGGTCGGTTTGGTTTCGGTTTTCATGTGTGAAAACCGAAATCGAACCGAACCATCGGTTTATGTTTTTTTGTAACCCGAAACCGACCGGTGCTGAAGAAAAACCGGCCAACTCAGGTTGGATCGGACCAGGTTGGTCAGTTTGGGTCTTGTTATTGAACAGCCCTATCTGCCACACCGAGTCAGAGATCCTACCAACTGAGCCACCATCATTTCAGCCTGTATAACTGTTTGATAGAAACTTCTTGGCATTTGGTACAATTAAGGACATTCATTTTTTGATTGGTAAGTAAGAGCATTCATTTGCAACTAGCTTAGTAGATAAAACATTCATTTTACAATTTATGTGTTTGTTGTTAGAATATGATCCTAGTGAAACTCCAGCAGGATTTGATCCCAGTGCAGTTTTCAAGAAGCTAGTCTGTGACGTTTTATTTAAAAAATGTGGTTAATGATTCCCTCCCTCCATCAAATGTTCACTCAGTATTTACAAATCTAGATGTCCAGTTTCATAGAGCTCCGTTTTCTTTTAAATATATGATTCACTTGTACCTGGTTTAGACTTTTAGTGAAAAGATCTACCCACTGACTTTCAGACTGTAAAAAGATATTAGAACCAACTCCATCTAGTAGTTTCTTCCTCACAAAGTGGCAGTCTACTTTTATAAGTTTTTTTCTTTTGTGAAAGGTTAGGTTTGAAGCATAGGAGCTGGACAAGATACCAATTTCTTTAAGATTTTGTAGCTAGACTAGATGAGATGTAATGCATGCCATTAACCTTTATTTAGGTTTTGCGCTGCTTCTTGCTTTTCCACATAATAAGGTTTCCTTCTACGAAGGTACAAGTACAATACTACAATATCCAGTGGTAGATCTTCTGTCACCAAAAGAGCCAGCCCTATTGCATTTGTATAGCCCTCCACATCCAAATCATCATTGCCTTGCGCAATAAACAATGGCATAGATTACCCTTCAAGTACCAAATTATCTTGATTACCACCTCTTATTATGAAACTTGAAGGCTCTATGTAAATTAACTGGAAACACTAATTACGAATGAGATATCTGGTCTGGTGATTGTCAAATAATTTAACATGCCAACAAGTCTTCTATACCTTTTGAGGTCATCATAGAGCTCACCTTGATTAACACTCAACTTGGTGTTGGGATCCATTGGGAATTGTTTGACACCCAAGAACCTAGTCTCTTCAGTTGTGTGTGTATGTATATATAGTGCGCCCAAATCCTTGGTTTGAAATTAGTGTTGTAGAAGTTGCTTGACTTCCTCTATCCCTTGTTAATTGTTATAGATCATATGATATTTTTGAAAAAGTTAAAGTAAATTTTATTAAAGAACAAAAAAAACTAACCTAAACAACCAAAAACATCCAAAAAAACCTAGATCTATTCCCACTGGAACACCAATCTAGGCCCAGAAAACTGACCAAATATACCCGAACAAAACACTCCTAAAACCGAACAGCAGAGGTCTAAAGTGAAAGAAACAAGCCAAAAACTGGATAGGGTAATCACGACTCACCCTTCCACTGCCTCTCCTCATCTACCCCTCCTTGTGCTAAGAGATCCCTTGGAAAAGGTCTTAGATGCTACCAAGTAATAGAAATCAGAGATATTTTTGGATTTTCTGCAACCTAGGAGCTAACCCAGACTATTGAAAGAGCAACTAGAAAAAGCATTGTTCAAGTCTGAACTAGAATTAAAATCAAAAGGCGAGCAAAGGGAACTGGGTTAGAGCACTTCTCTTGGCATTTTAAACCACTTTTGCACTTGCTTTTTCTAGGCTGGGCTGGGCTGGGCTACAAATGGTAACCACTAGCTGGATCCGTATTGATCCAATCTGCAAAAGACACCAAGGAAATTGCCGAAGCTCATCATATCCAATGCTACTCCAAACTATTAGGATCCAGTGAGCTGCAACCTACAGGAGACTTGTCACAATCCACAATTTATATATAATATAATATAAAATACTAAATACATCTATATATTATATATTTGCAGGACAGGCCTAAAGGCAATGGCCTTGAAATTTCTGGACTGGGCTATGGTTGATCACCCCTATCTGGATCCTATTCGATCTAGTCAAATTTGCATCACCTTAACCAGGTTGACTTGGAGTTCAAATTCCGAAGAATGGATACCATTTGCAGCCCAATTAACTAGAGGTTGCATATTTCATAAAGGGAGAAATGATGGACATGTGCTGCTATGTATTTGCATCAATTGTACAGTGTACTTTTACATTAATGGTCAGGAATCTTTTTGATTTTGATTGGCTGTTCGAACTAAATTCTTACCATTGACAACTTAATTGCCAAAAGTATGGATTTGAGAAATGTTTGTGTGTTCTGCTCCTCTTCCTTGGAATCTTGCCACCACCCAATCATGCACTGCAAGTATCCCTCTTCTATTTGGTCAGGAATCTTTTTGATGTCAGTTGGCTGTTTGAACAAATTTCTAACCATTGACAACTTAATTGCCAAAAGTATGGATTTGAGAAATTTTTGTTTGCTCTTGCTCCTCTTCCTTGGAATCTTGCTAGCACCCAATCATGCACTGCAAGTTTCCCTTTTCTATTTGATGGCATTTCATCAATTTATTTGGACAAGAGTAACTCATCCAAATTACCTGGTTAGTTTAATCAACTCCTGGCCAACAAGGTGCTTCAAAGAGAAATGGAGAATCCTGTGGAATTTAACCCTGTTTGCTATCTGTTTGCAAATTTAGAAAGAGAGGAGCTACATTATTTTTTAAGGGAAGCAATGAAAGCTCTCAGATTGCCAAAATTGAAAACTGTCTTCTCTTGGGCATCAATTCTGAAAGAACTCCATGGTCTTCCCTTTTTATGATTGATCATTCTTTTTCTCACTTCTGTAATGATTGGGGGAATATAGTCTTCTATTCTTATTGGGGCTGTTGCTTTCTGTGGTGCCTTCCTCTGTTTATCCTTAATAAATTTCCATTACTTGTCAAGAAAAAAGTAATAATGATAAAGTAGAAGCATGGTCGCACAATAGCAAATATTAAAAATTACATGGAGAACCAACTCATGTTATTCAGTTTATGCTTGTCATCTTATTATTCTTTGAAGGCATTTTGTGCACGTTTATGACCTACTTAAAGAGGACAGATACCATTGCATATTGAGTAGGTTGGAGTTATTCCCTGGCATCGGCATCTTCAAGGTTAACATGTGTACTTAAAATGCCAGCGTTAAGTGTGCAAGGACTAAATGAAATTGTCCTTTGATTAGTTATATGCATGTAAGATCTCCTTGTATATGTTTCTGTTTTACAAAATATTAATTCATACATCTATTTCGATTCATTGATCCGGGAGAAGTTTGTATAAGGCCATGTTGGTTTTTCTCCCATATACCTTGATGTAATTAATGCACCCAAAAGATTTCAGAGATCTGATTATACTTGGTTGGGTGCAGGTATGTGCAGCACTACCAGGAGAAGGAGAAGTTGGAACATAGGTACTAAGGCCAAAGAAATTCAGCATTTTAAGTTCAATCACCCATACATATCATATGGGCTCCTAAAAGGGTTGTCTTGAACTTTAATGAGATTAATTGTTGAACTGTTCATCTGGAGTTGATATGACCGCAAACTAGGTTATGGTCGATCTACCTTCCAATAAATTCATGGTTTTCTTGTCTAATTCGTTATTTTTATTTTTTATGTTATAAAATACATATGGAACGAGGCTATACATTTTATGGTAGAGACAATGGCATTCTCATATTCCGTTATAGTCAATTGGTTATTAGGTAAGTTACAACTTGTTTTAAACTCACCAACAGAGTTAGGCTATGACAGCTACGTTTTTTACATGTTTAATGAATGGAAACAAATCATGTTCCTAAATTTTGCGGTGTTTCAGAAAATCTATATGATCGTGAAATATTCGGTTGGAGGATTCAAATACAGATGACCATTCTCTATTCAGAAAATTAGAAATACCACTTACCTACAATTGGTACTCACGTCACGTTTTGCAAATCATTTACCACAGCCATTCATGCAACCAAAGTTTCAATATTGAAAGATAGCAATTTTTGAGAAATCATTTGTTTTCATTCAGTTTACATGCATGCAAATGGGGTCTCATTTTGTGTTCAAGGCTCCAAGGTAATTGAATGACTAGGCCTAAAAAGCAAAGGTAATTGGATAGCTAATGCAGCATATGTGAGATTAGGCTAAAGCCCCATCTCTTTTAGAGACTTGAGGCTATGACTCCATACCTGTAGGGTAGTGATCAGATTTTATGATTGAGCAGATGTCAGTTTGCTTTATACAAATGTGATGATTCTTTGTGTTGTAAATTTTAATGATAATAAAATTGCGTGGGTGGTTCTTGTGCTACTTGTTGGTTTGTGTTGGTTCAATTAGGGAGAAAAACAGCTTAGAAAAAGGTGCCATTGTGGACCAATTTTGGTGTCAAGTTCCAGATTTTTGTACAAGTGATAATTTACAAACCAATTAGGTCTCTTTCTAGTTGGTTTACACGTTATGCTTGTCATACAGGGTTGCCCTTGAATTGGTCGTGGTGGTCGTGCTATGCATAATGCACATGGAAAGTTGGGAAACCAAGGTGCATCAAATGGATTATATTCAAATTCAACAATTGGCCAATTCCCAATCTTTACAAGAAACTATCATATTTATGTGCAACTTCTTTCTTAATCATGTCGGATGGGTTTTGCTGCCTTGTTCTCGAGCTGAGATGTTTGTCTGACTAACAAATCATCACTTGCAAAACCTAATTAGAACACAGACCAATTACTTATTTGAGTTGGTTTCACCCTGGGAATCCAAACTGCTTATTAGGCCTAGCTAACCAAATTAGAACGGAGACCAATTAACTTGTATATAAGATGGTTTGACCCTGGGAATCCAGACTGCCTAGTAGACCTAGCTTAGTATTGCAGAATGTGTGTGTGTGTGTTTTTTTTTAATGATGCAGCTTCCTAACTTCTAAGCTATGGGATTTAGACTATCAATCTAAACGATAATCAATTTGATTAAACAGAATAAGAAACCTGGACATTAAGGTACATTTTAATGAGAACAAATCTGATGGTTTGATTAAGATATTAAAATCTTAATCTAATGTCACACAGACTGTTGGGAAGGCAATTTTAAAAGACGGTCATGCTTTGGATATGACTACGTTAAGGAAACTCAAATAAATATAAAAATACATTAATAACTTGTGTGAAGTATGACTAAATAAAGTATATAAATATATAACACACATGCTTTAATAACTTGTGTGAAGTATGAAGTACCAAAACATCCGGCATGTGGTAAGTGGCATGTATAACTTAGTTCATACCAATATAATTATTATTAATACTGATATAAATTTTAATAAGTAATTCTTTGTTAGCTTTGTTGATAAACATAAATCAAAGGAAGAAAATGTATGCTAAAACCTATAACTCACATAATTAAGACAAATAATATTTTCACTTAATCTTGGAATCTTTTTGTTTCTAGCATTTTGTAACATAAAAGTTAATGGTCAATAATTGATAGGAAATAAACTTTGGGAGTTAATAAGAGAAAATAGGAATTAACGTAGGAGAGTTAATAGTTGTAATTAGTGGAAATTAATGGTATGAATAGGATTAAAAATCTACTACTATTAAAAGTGTGGAATGGAAATTTTGTTTAATTAAAATATCCCAATTTTTTATTACTCAAAAATATAATTTGAACAATCACTTTTCTCTTTATTCAAATTCCTCTCATTGAGTTTTATAATTAAGGAATTAACACATTCATTGAATCTTATTCTTGACTAGAATACATATTTGTGAATTTGGTCTCTCTCTAATTGTGAGGGCACAAAATGTAATTTGAACTATTATATTTCTCATCATTTAATTCCCTTTCATTAATTCTTATATTTAGGGTATTAACTCTCTTTTATTGAATCCTATATTAATTAATCATACTAAATAAAAATAAATGTAATAAAGAATAATTGTTTTTATTGATCATAGAAATAAAATACAAAATTAAAGCCAACACAAAAAGTAGAAAACACAAATGGGCGGATCCTTACATCATAATTAAATATCAATACAAACTTTTTGAGTGGCGAGTCAACAATTCATACTTTTTGTGTCAAATGGGTGAACCCTTACATCATAATTAAATACCAATAAAAATAAAAAAGATGAAAAAACAAAAGAATAAAAATACAAACAAAAATTATAGAAAGCATTTAGGCACCTCTCAAATATTGTATATTCATCATACTAAACAAAAATAAGCGTAACAAATAAAAATATTTTTTATAAATAGAAATATAAAAAAATGTAAAAAAATTTGAATACATATTATTTACTATCATCATCATCACCATCATCATAAAAAAATTACCACGTACAAAGCACATGCACACTTACTAGTAAAAAACAAGAACACAAGTGAACCAAGAGTCCCAGTTTTGTATCAGCAATATGAACCAATATGGCTAACATGGGAGGAACAAAATAGTGTACAGAGGAATGGCAATGGGGATCCCAATCCCTGCCCCATACCCTGACAGGACTAAAACTCCCAGCCTCCATCCTTGCAAGAAATAGGGATCCCTGAATTTGTTCCACCCTGTCCTAACAATCTTACCAAGTTTAAAGTTTTTCGGGCATATCGTATTGTATCTTTTGGTCCGCGATGCACCTGTTTACAACTGTTATTGAAAATCCATTTTTTTAAATAATATATATATATATAATAGTATGTTCAAAACTAAAAAAATAATACACAAAGGTGTAATGATATTTTGAACTATGATTCTTACATGCAAAGCTGTTTTCTGAGGGGCGGATCAGCCATCTCGCAGTGATTTGTTACAATAGCACGTTACACAACAGTACGAGAGGCTTTGCTCAGCCAGGTGGGTAAAGCCTCATTCTGGCAAGACAAGATTATCAACTGCACTTTGGATGACAGACCAAGACCAGATTTTCAAATACTAGCATCAACTGCTTTCTAGATTATTACTGTGGTAATGAACTCACACTAAAGGACTAGCATTATTAATTTACAAAATGGAGTCACCACGGTGGGTATGGCCTGACTGTCTGAGCAATGTAATAAAAAAGCCTGCATTGAAACAAACTCAAGGCACTGAAGAATTCAAATGTCTCCAACTGATCGTTGCGCAACAATAACATCAGTGAATGAACTGAAGGATTAATAGGATCTTGATATAGTAAATTTTGTTTTTTCTAGAATTCCAGGGATGAAAAATAGTCAGATGGACTAAGGCCTTCACCTTGCATAATGATGCCAACGTGGAAAAACAGAGATACTTCAGACACAACATTGAAGGCAATTTGTGAAGTTAACATTAGAAAGAATTTGTATAATTCATAATGAGTCAAGTTAACGTGTCATATACAAAGAATGGACTATCTAATTACAATAGTCACAGTGGTAATGAACCTACTAAAGACCTTGACAACCCTCCCAAAACTTACATGGGAAAAAATAATAATTTCACAACCAATCAAATGATGAATAACTTACATGTATCAGTAAAACAGGGTATATATTTTCCAAGTTATATAATGATTGGCGTGCTTCTATCTGATTTTCCTGGTTCTACTTGTTTACACATGCAATCTGGTATGGGGAAGGTGTAGAGTGAGCTACTAGGTTTTTTCATTTCAATGCCCTTTAAATCGCTGTGATGAAGCATTTCTTGCATCTGGCGCTTGAAATACTCCCACCTGCAATAACTTTTTCTTTCATAAAATGCTTGAAATTGTACAATAACTCACATTAATAACAAAAAAACGGGGGAAGTAAACACTAATACACTAGAGATTAATAATATGGTAATAGCAAGATGCAATACCCTTTCCAAATATGACTGATCACAATTAGAGAGGATATAGAAAAAAAGAAGTGTTACAGTGATAAAAATTGTTGTAGGAACGCAAATATATGTACAATTTTATATTTGAACATAACAAATTGATAATGATATGAATAAGCAGGATAAAAGTATATTTTTCCTTCATCATTGGTTCGCCTAAGCATCAGCATGCAGGTTAAAGTCTGAGAGCAGCTCACCATGTGCCCAAAATTAAAAAAAATAATAATAAAACGAAAAAAACTCAAAGGTCAGGATCATATCCAGCCTATGCCTAGGATGGCCAGGATATCATTTTTGATACCTCACAGATAGAAATCATTCAACTGTGCTTGGCTAAATGAACTCAGTGCAATTGGAGATGGATGCCCTGTTATAGATTAGATTTGGAAGCTTGTTGATATGCCAAAGGTAAGGAAACAGTTGGATGTAGGTGGGCTTTTCCAATTACTTGGGAAGCAAAATCTACAAAATGGGTTTCTAAGCTGAAAGTTCAAAATAAAAAGCTTGTTGGTATGTATGTGCCTTTTACAATTACTTTGGTTTGTTCACATTTTTTCATTTTGTTTTTTAATATTCGGTTTATTCGGTTCGGTTTTAACCAAATAAACGAAATGCTCACCCCTAAGTGCAAGTAGAGATGGATGCCCTTCTCTTTGTACCTGAATGGAAGTATGGATGCCCTTTTATAAAATTAGACTTGGAAGCTTGTTGATATACCCAAGGTTCAAAGTATCGATACAGGGCGATACGCCGCTATGGCATATCGGCCCTTTTTTGAAGTTTTATTTTTTTTTTTTTTCAATACCAGTTCAGAGGGGTCAGTTTAAGTGCCGCCTACCCTCTGAACCAGGCCCTGACCGGATACAACTCCTGTAGGGGCGTATCAGCCAATACGGGCCAATATGTAACAATTTTTTGAACCTTGGATATACCATCCATAAGGAAAGGAAACAGTGAGATATAGGGGGGCTTTTACAGTTACTTGGAAAGAAAAATCTACAAAATGGCTTGTAAGCCAAAAGTCCAAAGTAAAAGCTCAAATCCGGCATTGAACTTTGGGCTTTAAAAAGTCCAAAAGTAAAAGTTTAACCAAATGCCACTTGAAGTAACACAAGCTTTACTGCAAAAGGCATCAACATATAGAAACCAAAAGACATGGCTCAAACACAACCATTTAACAATATCTTGGATATAAGACAGTTGCACTGCAAGGCCATCACTTTCAGGAAATTTAGAAGCAAGTGATAAAGATTAACCTGATATTTGGACTGTCAAATAGTAATGCTAATTTCCTCTTATCGGGTTTTATCGTCTTTGCATGTCCACCAAAGAAGTAGCGCCTGTGCCCCATCAGAAAGTGAGGAAAGTTGCCACCTTGAGTTGTGACAAATACTTCACTGTTAAGGCATACGGTATAATCAAGAGCAGCCAACCTAGATGAATGACCCTGCATAAGGAATATGGAACAACCATGTGACCCTGCTCAAATTATTGAAGACCTAAATGAAAAGAAGAGAAATGCAATGCACTGCAAACAATGGAAGGTAGTCTTCAACTAGAAGTAATCAGTCAAAAATGCTTGAATCACATAAGACAAGATACATTCTAGATTTTTGATGCAGAAACCACAGAATATATCATGGCAATATGATACCTTAAATGGAGCAAGTTCCTCTGGCAAAGCTAGTGTCTCCTTTGTCTCTAGGAGTGGAAATAACTGCCGAAGTGGAGCCATAAATTTTTCCGCTTTATAGATTTTTCCAGCAGCAATATAAACTGAAGTTGTATTGTCAAACCCCATGCCTCTAAGCATCATTCCCACCTGCATAACCCAATAAATTAATTAAAGAAGCATCAATCTTATTTTAGAATGCAATTACCGCTCCATCTAAGCTTCAAAACTCAGCAGATTTGGTGCCAATACAAAGAAGATCCATTTGTTCTTTTATACCATCTATTCTAACAAGACCAGGAAATAATTGCTAAGCAAGGAATGTCATGCAATGTGCTTCTCAAAATAATTAGAAAAGAGATCAGAATTAAATGAAAATAGAAAAGTAGGATTGGTACACATTAAAAAGAAAAAGATGAATTTCTACATCATTGTTCTCAACCATGGTTCAAAGTATCGATACGCCCCTGTGTATTGGCAGGGGAGTATCAGTACTAAAAACTCACCGCTCAATGCCTTTTTTTCAAAACTTGATTTCTGGAGATGATTTTAAGTGTTTTTTATTGAAATAAATGGGGGTCCCAAAACACCTGTAAATAGGGGTATTGAGACGAAAAGATACAATACGATATGCCCGAAACGGGGCATATCGCATCGATACTTTGAACCTTGGTCTCAAGCAATCAACTCCACAAATGTTATTTAATGTTTTTCCAGTACAGAACTCCATAAATGTTTTCAAACAACAAAAATCTTCCCAATAGTTAAGCATTTAGTTATGTATCAACTGTTCCAACTATATCCACATTGTAAAGTATTTAGAACCATTAATATCATCATTATAAATCTTGAGAGAATTGAACTGCTTGATTTGATTTGCATCACATTAGGTAGAATTTACAATTTTTTCTACAAGATCCCTCAAATATACTCTATTATATGAAAGAATGGAATCCAAGAGTTATGAAATAAAAGCCTGCATCAAGTGCACAAACACATCCTGATTTAATCACAACCATCAAATCTGATCTATTCTAATCTAGAAGATATACTTAATAGAGAGAGTTTAAAGTTGATTTGTCTTGTCAAAGGCTCAAAGCTGTAAATGGAAATGAAAGAGGGAAGAGAAGAAACCACTAATTGGAAAAGGGCACTCTAATCTGCCAACCGACCCAAGAGAAATGTTATTCACTATAATAAATAATATCAGAAGATATTATAATATTACCCTTCTGGGTACCACACATACAAAGAGTTAAGACAAAATAAGAAAATACATCTGGATGTACAGTAATATGGTACACTCTAGTATTTTGTAGAAAATCACCACGTGGTCAAGGCCTCAAAGTACATAGCATTTGGATATTTACCACAGCAAAAGAAAAAAAATGCTAAAGATATTTTGCACGGAAAATAACAGTGACTGACACGTGAATGAGGGTTCTAGCTTGAGCTAACGTGCATATGATAATCTGATTTAAGATGACTATGATGCAGCAATATGCATATTAATGCTGCAGTGGGGGCATGTTGTGAATTTCCACTTTTTACAGCATTACACAAATAGAAAAGGGGACTCCCACAACCCCCATGACAGTTTCTCTTCTTCCATCTTTTCTTCTCTCCTCTTATTCTACTCCCCCACCCCCATCTAAACAATAAATTTCTGTTTTTATTTGCTGATTTTTATATGCACACTTCACAAGTCGTGTATCAGTAAGGATCAATTGCCTGGTTTAGGCAGAGATTTCTGGAGAGAGCTCTGATCAGAATTTCATAGAAGGAACTTCTAGAGAATCTTCCGAAAAGTCAAGACAACAGCAGAGAAATTTGTGAAGAGGTTGGAGTGGGCCTATTTCTCTTTGTTCTTTACCTTGCATTAGGGTTTGTGGTACCTTGTAGTAGGGGTGATCATAGGCCAGGCCTAGACAGGGCTTAGCACCTATGACAAGGGCTACTGCCTCAGCCTAGGCAGCCCAAGCATGGGTTGGACTTTGGGCCTATGTCTCTAAATACATTATATTTAATATTATGCAGTATAATATATGCACATATATATGTTGCAATTTATATGCATGCATATATAGTGTATATGTGCAATATATAAATATATAAAATATATTTGCAGGCTGGGCTTCTAAGCTGAGCTAGTGATCACTTCTACCTTGTGGCACTACAAAATCTTGAATATAGGTCAAGTATCTTGCATAGTTGTCAAGGGCTGTCTAGGTGATTCTAGGTGACACTGGGGTGCCTAGTCGCCTTAGTTGCCTAGGCGAGCACCTAGATGATGCCTGGGCGGTAAGAATTTTATGATATAAGGAACTAACTTTTGGCTAGTTCCCTAGCTTTATATACCATTCAACATGCATAATAATTGAAAGCAATTCTCTATTAAGAACATTAGATTTCCTCTAAAAATGTGGCAAATCATCATAAGTATTTATATTAATTTCGTCATTTGTGAAAGTAATACTACTTATTTACTTAATAAGTATTTATTTATTTTGACCAATAACAAAGGCAATATTATTAATTAAAAAGATATTAAGTACAATAGAAGAGAACGAAAGGGGAAGGGATAAACTCTCTTAACCCCTCCCTGAATGAATTACATCACAGTCCAAAATAAACTGTTCCTTCCCACCCCTTGTTTAGCAACTCAGCAAAGACATTTGCATCTCTCTTGACCAAATTACAAGTCACCTCTATTCTCTGTAACCAATTACAAGTCACCTCTGTACCTCTATTATACATTCTCAAATCTTTAAGATGAAAAGCATTCTGCATTACAAGGCTATAAATCAAGGAAATTCCAGAAAATTTCAATCAAATCAGCTTTGGAGACTTGATCAGATTGCCCATTCCTGCTATCAAATATTCAACGCTCTACCCATTCTCCTCCCTCCTTCCTTCTCTCATACCCCTCGCAATCCAGCTAAGGAATCACATCTTCCTCCCCATCTCCCTGTCTTCCCACCAACCCCAAGATCACTCAATCTCGTCCAATCCCTCCTCTTCTCCCCCTTCCTCATCCCACCCCTTGATTTTTTCTAAATATTCTTCCTTTTTCTTTTTCTCTTCTATTTTCTTTTTTTCAAACTTCTTAAATGCTATTTTCGAGAGACTTTCCTATCTTGACCTCCCTCTCCACCAATTTATTGAAATTCACCTTCCCATTTTGTATTAATTCCTTGACTTCTTGGTCCTTTTGAATCTGCTCTGCTCTTTCTCTCTCTCTCTACTCCCGTTCCCAGTCTTTGAAGCTTCTCCTTCTCCTTGTTTTTCTTCTTCTGTTCTCCCGATCGCAACCCCTCTCTCCACTAATCTCTGGAGAATTACATCACCTGACTCTCCATCAATAATATCAGTACTTTGTGGCAACCTGTTCACACCAGAATCAGGCTCGACCTTGCTCATCTCACTTTCCTGCTGTTCCTTCATCTGAAGGGGGACCGAAAGACTAAATTTGCTTTGTTTCCTCCCTATGAACTGTACCAGATGTCCCATTACCTCTGATTCTTTTCCTCTTGTACAACCATTTGTATTTCTTTGTAGGTCCTGCCCCTGCCAAGCCAAGTTTTAGCCTTGAAAAAATCTGTCGCACGTACAATGTTATGGTTTCTTAAATTACGTGGCTTCTTATTGGTCTTTTCGTTAATCTGTTCCTCCTGAAAATTGCTCCCTCTACCCAAATCGCCCTTCCAACCTTAACCTCCTTGTAGGGTAGTTTATCCTCTACAAGTTTCTCGCCCTGTCCTTCAGGTAATTCTTCAGAACCAAACTCTTCCTTTCCCGTATCCTCACCTTCAGTCTCCAGCTCTAAATCAGCGCTAACATCTTTTCCGAACTGTGTCCTCCCCGCCTTCCCACCTCTCTTATTCTGCAGAGACAGGAAATTCTGGTGTCATCAAATCTGTTTTTTCAAATTCATACCTAGCCTCTAGGGTCAATTCAACTGCATCTTCAGGCTTGGAGAAACCATGAATCCCATCAAGCTCCTTACTAACCTAAGGAAAATTCCCAACAACACCAGTCACAGGAAAGTATGGGTAGTCGTTGGAAGTCTTTCCTTTTCCACCTACGATCCTCTTCCTATCATTTTCTTGTACTTAGCTATCACCCAAGTCCACTCTTCTCCTTTTTTTTCTCTGGCCACATTCGAATATCTTCTTCCTGTTAGTCCACTCTTTTTAAAATTTGGTCTGCTAAGCCCTGGAAACTCTCTTGTCACCCTTCCTTCTCTTGAACCAATTTTCCACCCTACTTTTCTGTTCTTCGGTGCTGCAGGCTTGAACTTTCTTCAATATTTCTTCTGGGTGGTATAAAATCTTCAAGGGACAGCCCTGATCAGAGGTAGCCGATGTACGTCGAGCGCCACTAGCCTTTAGCACGACTTCTGTTCCTGAGAGGGTGTCCCCTGAGTTCACTTGTTCTGGGCCCCTGTAAGTATCATCTTGTAATGACAAAGGGTTCCACAAGCCTTTGGCTCGATCTCTTAATCTTCCAGCATCTCCCGTCTTCCTTTGTATCAAACTCAAAATGCCAGAGCTACTAAAGGACCTCAGGATTCCGCCAAGTTTGGGGCTATCATCCCTAAAACCCGACCCATCCTCTTTTGGGTCACCTGACCCATTCGGCCTAACCAGGCAACCCGATAAATAGTTGGTTTAATCGTTTTAGTTGAGTTGTCATCTACATGAAGTGTATATGTTGCCTCTTCCAGGTTTTATATCTCCAAGACATTAAGGCAAGGTGTGCAAATTTAGAAAAATATATGGGTTGAAACAGTCAGTCACTAAGGGTTTAGTTTCATCATTTTAGTTGAGTTGTCATGAAGCCTAGGTATACTCAGAATCATGCACATTATACACTTATGGGCATGTTATATGCGAGTGACACCGCAGTGACAAGGGGACAGTCCTACAACAGAATAGCTAAATGAATCCTTAGCATCTAAATTTGAAATCTAGAACCACCTCGTGAATTGGGAAACAAAGAGCAAGAGTGAAAAGTTAAGAGGATTGGGGAAAGATTTGAGGAAGAAGAATTCGGCTTTGTTAGGAAAATGGCTATGGAGGTTCCCTATGGATGGTGATAGACATTGGCAAAAGGTGATCAGAAGCATTCATGCCAATGTCTGGACTAAAAATTAATCAAGAAAAATGCAGCTTTGTAGGGATTAATTTATTTCATAATGAAGTGGAGCAGTGTGCTGATTTCTTGAGTTGTGCGGAAAAATCTTTGCCCATAAAGTATTTGGGGTTACCTTTAGGGGGCAATAAAAGACGTATCTCTCTCTAGGATTGAGAGATTCACTAAAAAGTTAGTGACATAGAATAGAAGAATAAGTACATCTCAAAAGTGGGTAGGATCACCCCCATCAAATCTACCCTCTCAAACCTCCTAACACACTTCCTTCACTTTCAGGGCCTTCTAAGGTATTGAAAATGATTGAGAAAATTATTAGGGTTTTCTTACGGAAATCGAGGAATGAAAAAAAAAGCATCATACAAGCTGGATGAATGTGAGTAGGTGCAAAGAGGATGGTGGTCTAGGAATTGGGAGAATTAAGGATAAAAAGGTATGGGTGATCAAAAGCATATATGGGCCTGATTCTAATAGGTGGGATTCTGGGCCACGGCCACCTGTTAGAGAATAAAATAATATTCAGGGGCCTCACCTAACAACACAAGCTTTGAGATTGAATGGTTCCTTGAGATGGTACCCAAGCTTGTTTGACCAAGTGGTCTAGTGTTCGATCCTCATCACCACCATTATAATTAATTAAATTTCAGCACAAGGTATGGGTGGGCCTGTGCTTGCTCACGTTTCAAGCCCAGTGGGCTTTTGTGTGAGGCGGCATGTTAGAGAATAAAAACCCATTCAGGGACTTCTCCTAACAGCTTAAGCTTTTAGGTTAAAAGATTCCTTGAGACTGCCAATAAATTCTACCCTTAAAAGCCCTTGGAAAGCTATTTGGTCTTTACTCCCTACCTTCTCACAATTTGTTCAATATGCTAATTCAGGTACACAGTGAAGTTTTGGGGAGATTTTTGGTGGGGAGACCCTCCTCTTTGCCTTTCTTTCCCCAGAATCTACAACCTTTCTTCCCTTAAACATAAACCTATCACTGAGCAAGTTTCCCTTGATAATAGTGGCCTGTCTTGGAATCTTGGGTTGAGAAGGAGAGTGAGAGATTCCAAATTTCCTGATCTTGTGCATTTATTGGATTCCTAATCATGTGCATTAATTGAATTTGGATTCCAGATTCTGAATTTCTCTGTTATACATCCTTTCCCAGATAAAGCTTTCTTGTCTGGCCCTATTCCCCCAAAAGTTAAGTTTTTTATTGGTCACCTGGTCTTTTTCATGACTTGTCATTATATTGCTCAGGTATGAAAACCACTTCTTAGTTCTCTTTGGGTGTAATAGAATTTTTGAAAACAAAGTGTTGCAGGTGGGAGAGCTGATTGGTCTCATCTACATTAAAATTGAGCATTGGGACCTCATGTGTGATGAATTCAGTGGCATTACAATAGATGAGATGCTTAGAGTGTTAGAGATTGAAACTCAATTATGACAGTTGCAGTCTTGGTAATCCTGGGGCCTCAGGAATTGGAGGAGTTATTACAGACTGTAATAGCAACATTTGTCTCAGTTTTTTAGGCCCAATTGGGTTTGGTATTTGGTAACTCCCTAAAAATTAAGAACATAAAGGTATAAAAGTACCATATACTAAATGCCTTGGCAATTAAGTGAGGTGACCCTCCATGGGTGCCTTGTCGCCTAGGCATGCCTTGACAACTGTGTATTGAAGTTAACAGATTAGAGAAAAAAACCATACCAATGAAATGTGCTTCCATATGTAAAGATCAACCACCAACTAGCAGATTGACTAAGGGAGTTAAATGGGCTATGTTAGATACTACATTAAGCAAGATGAGCATGATTGACACCTGTGCTACACTTGAGGGAGATATTGTAATTTAGAAATTTAGTGCTAAGGGCAGTTTGGTCTTTTACTTTTTGTTATGATGAACATACTTGTAACTTTCATTCTTTAAGTAAATGTATAAATAATAGGTAACAGTGGGCAGGGACCCATTACTAGTTGGCATTGTTAATTTCTCAAGTCTAGTTCATCTAAGCTGTGTATACTTTATTTCTTTCAATAAATTAAGCTGTGTATACTTTCAACTAGTTGAATACTAAATGTCAATAAGAAGATAACTGAAACTCAATTATTATGGTTCATGTCCTACTTAAAATGAAAATTATGATAACTTAATATTTGATTTCTAACTTATTACAATTATTGATTGCTAATTAATTACAACATTAAATCAATATTTTTGAAAAAAAAATCTAGTCACAGTTATTTACCTCTAATGGAGTTAATGGACATTTTCCATCCATTCGTATTGCTCCAGGCCTTATTATTCGACCAGTTTTATTAAACTTGCCTCTCCAACCTCGTTCTCGAGCAATATCCATTTCTCGTTTCTCTTCCTCACCACCATCATATATGCAGCATGAAAATGCAACCATATCCTTCAACGAAAGGAATACCCATGTTTAGAAATACTATAAAAGTACAAATACAAAAAACATAAGGATTCAAGACTGCAATTCTCTAATGAGACAAGCACCTTTTCAAACCGGAGATGCACTGATACATACTTCCCACCACTCATGGAGCTATTCTTAACCATCCGATCAACCATTTTTTCTGCCAGTGTTCTTATAGGCTGTGAAAATCTTAATGCTTCATAGTTGGCCAAGCATCTAAGACCCTGGATACTTGAAGGAACTGCTTGAGCCAGCCTGTTAGAGAAGGGTGCAATACGAACAGCTCTGCACCATAGGATATGAATACAAAATAAATGTTTCTATAAAACAAAATGGCATAATCCCATGACTAAACCAGAGAATGCGAGGACTAAAGAAATCTTATCAGGTAAGAAATTATTGTATAAAGCTGATAAATATTTTTTCTATCAATAAAAATCCCATTTTTATAATCAAGGCACATTCTCGATGAAAAGAAGAATTCCAATATTAATTTACTTGCAATGATGTTAAGTTTTGTGGCAAATCATGATATAAGTCATATAACTAAGCAAAGTGATACCCACTATCCCACCATATATAAGGAAAATAGACAATAAAACAATAGAACCTAGAAACTAGTTTACCAATGTCAGGATAAAAGATCAAGGTAAATTTTGAAGAGTTGAATTTGTTAGCACAAACATCCCTTTAGAAAAGATACAACTGTACCACCATATTGCAATAATCTAATCATGTTGCTAATTTTGCTTTTCCTTCCTTAGAATGTCTACTGGACAAGCATAATGCATTATTCAAAAAATGTACCATATGGAAGGAATAATAGATTTTACTCTTCAATTGGTAACCAGAACCTTAATTACTTTGTGAAAAAAAGAACATTTTATATAACATTTGTGTCAAATTGCCCTTCATTAAATGTTAGATTAGCTCAGCTACCTAACCCATAACTGTAAACATTTCTTTTGCTTCCATACCTCCCATGTGAAGTGACCCACTAAAACATACTATTCCCGAGATATGTTGAATGGTAGTATTATAACATATTTACCCAGTGAAAACTACAGTGCTGTATGGAGTACGACTTAAGTTGATGACAATGTTGCAGATCTGTTGAGTACTAGGATTTATTGCCTATAATGGACATGATTACCACTTTCAGCCTGCTCAAAATTTTTTCAGACATGAAATTAAATCTCAAGTGTTGTTTGATAATGTTGAAACAGGATCTAAAAGGCAAGATAGTGCTTGTATTAACTTTTGAACCTTTCCCCTAATGTTAAAATAGGTCTAAATTGGTAACATGTGGCCCCAGCAAGGAAAACAGTCAGACATGTTTCAGATGTGTCAAAAATGTCTTAAGTGTCCAACTTTTTAAAAGAAAATTACATGGCTGCTTTTAACTTCGTTTATGAGCCCTACAGTTCAAGCACTCTCTCCAAGCCCTAGTTTTTGCTTTTAATAGGAAACTATAACTTTCATTAAGATTGGATAAATTGAAGGATACAAAGGTCCAATCCCTTAAACTAGGGATTCCAACCCCTAGCAGATTTACTATTACAGCTCAGCCCAGAATAAATCTCCCCTGTTTGTCCCTTGTTTGGCTTGATAGTCAGACAAACCATTTGCTGACCTTCTAACCCATCTAAATGGCACTCCAAGCTCTCTCAAAAGGCTTGTAATCTTCCTCAAGTTCTGCCTGTGAGTCCAAGTCCTCAGTACTAGGGATGAGCATTCGGTTTTTTCGGTTCAAAACTGAACCAAAAAAACAATTTAATAAGATGGCAAACAGAACCGAAACCGAAATATATAGAAACCGTTTAAACCGAACCGAATTTTTTTTGGTTATTTCAGATATTTCGGTTAAAACTGAAATTAAGTCAATCCTTCTGTGTTGTATCAAAAACTGAGAAGAAGAAGAAGAAGACGCCCTCAGCAGCAGGCTGACAGCTGGCAGAGGCAAAGAAGATGCAACTGCAGCCGACAGAGGCAAAGAAGACATAGTGGCAGCCAGCAGAGGCAAAGAAGACGGAACTGCAGCTGACAGAGGCAAAGAAGACGCAGCGGAAGCTCGCAGCCCGCAGCCGTGGCACTCGGTGGTTGATACTCAACAGGACAGGGAAGCCTCAAGGGATTGACACTGCAGCATGCCGGAGATTGGTTCCGGGAAGCGCGAAGCGGTTCCAAGATGGACAGTCGGTTCCTATCTTTTATAGAGGAGAAGGGAGTAGGAGAGAAGAAGACGAAGTGACGAACTGATTGAGGAGGGGTTTATGAAGGCGTGACGTGTAGGACCAAGTGGGACCCACATTGGATGGGTTTGTTTTGTTTTGAGAAGCTTTCTCGGGGAGGTTGCCGAGTAGTGTTATCATCAAGATTGACAATGCCGTTGGAACTAGGTTATGAGTAGCAAGTTCGTAGTCTAGTGGTAGTAAATGTACTACCCTATTGATTAAGTAATTAATTGTAACAGATGTCCACTGTGTTGAGTAAATGATAGATTCAAATGATGCAAATGCCCCCTAATCTTATCAATGAGTAAAATTAAATCGGTTTTTTCGGTTAACTGATTTATCAATTATGATAACCGAAACCGAAAACCAAAATACAAAATAATCGAATAATAAAAACGAACCCGACCAGAAAACCGATTAAACTGAAACCGAAATTTCAGTTTGGTTTTCCGGTTTTAACTGAATTATGCTTACCCCTACTCAGTACCTGTTTGCAGTCCCCCTATCATCAATTTTGAGTCCCCTTCCACTTCAATCTGTTGAAGACCCAGCTGCTTTACCAATCTCAGCCCTGGACGGAGAGCTAATACTTCAGCCATTAGGGAGTCACCCACTCCTATTGGCCAAGAAAACACAGCCACGGTCCTTTCTTCACCATGCCTTATTACAGACCTATGCCCAAAGGACCTGGGATACCAGAGGAGCTTCCGTCAAAGTGGCTTTAATGGTAGCAAGCTTTTGCAGGAGGTTCAAAATTTCAAAACAAAATTAGAAGGCTCAGGAGAAAACCATTTTCTGGCCAATCCATTGACTCAAGTCGGGAAGCTGTAGTGAACCGGAGTGCAACTGGTGTTTCTCTTAGTGGTCACATGCAAGAGAAGATTGTAGTTGAAGGAAAAGGCCCAACATGCGACTTTGTTAATGGTCAGGTGTGAGATAAGAAGGGTGTTAAAGGAAAAGGCCCACTCAAGACTAACGGGCCGGTTAAAACCAATGTTGTGGGCCTGGACCTAAAAGAGGCACATGTTGCTTCAAGTGAGCAGTGACCAAGAAGATTGGGGCGGTGATGGACGTAAGTATTGGTCCATCGTCGTCCCCTGTGACCAAAACTCACAGCTCGTCTTGAGGGAATAGCAGGAGGGTGGCAACTTCCACCTGGTCCTGGGTTCCAAGCAAAGGAAATCTAGCTTGCTTGCTAGAACGTCACAATCTCAAGTTTAGGAAACCCCCATCTGTTGTTCAGGAGATGCTTTCCAAAGAGGTGGAGGTGTCTAGCAATGAAGAAAGTGAGGTAGATTAATTTGAGTCATCAAATATAGGCAGTGTGGACAAGTTCAGCCCAGAGAATTTGAATGAAGAGAGTTTTTATACAGAGCTGTTTTCTTGGAAGAGAGTTTTAAGAAGGACAAGTTGAAGTGGCCCAAGACTTGGTCAGAACTGTGAAGGAGCCTAGTTATTCAGAGAAGGTGATGACAGATGTTGCTGAGGCTGTACAATTCACTTCTCCCAACGGGAATCTAAGTCAGGAATGCAGCAACGTGAGGGGCTCTGTAAGAGCCTGTCAGCTCCAACAAATTGGAGAAACACAGACACAACAAGGACAAAGGAGAATGGAGAGGGTCCCTCCAGAAGTATCCACTGTCTAGAACTATAGACCAACAGCTCCACTTAGAGGAAAGGGCTATTGCACCAGAACCTGCCAACATAGCTTCCTATTCAAGAGATTATCCTTGGTCCCCCGTTGTCAGGTATTGGTCATCCTTCCTTCAATTCATTACGATGATTGTTTCCAAAACTTTTTGACCCATTCAGTTGTCTAGTCTAGAATGTGAAAGTTGTCAGTTGGGGAAGCATCATAGACATTTTTTTAAGCCAAGTAATAAAAGAAGTTCTGCTTTTGATATTGTTCATATTGATGCATGGGCCCCTTATCATTTTTCATCCATAGGTGGTTACCATTATTTTTTTTTTTCCGTGGATGATTACACTCAGTATTTTTGGATATATTTGATGAGATTGCATGATGAGGTACCTATTTTGGTGCAACAGTTCTACCAGATGGTTCTCACACAACTTGAAGGACTACGATTTTTAGATCAAACAATGCCAAAGAATACTTTGAGAAGAATTTGGCCACAATTTTTTGGAGCATGGGATGATTCATCAAAGTAGTTGTACTTATACACCACAATAGAATGGGGTAATAGAGAGGAAAAATAGACACATTGTGGAGGTGGCAAGAAATCTTATGGTGTGTGCTTTAGTCCCTATTCATTTTTTGGGGAGATGTGGTTCTCACAACTATGTACTTGATCAGCCATGTACCTTCACGCATCCTTGGGTTTAAGGTGCCAATACAACCTTCTATTTCCAAAAGGGGAGATATTTCATATACCTTTGAGGGTTTTTGGGTGTGTTTGTTTTGTTCACATTCTTGGTCCACATCATAGGGTTGGATCCTTTGGCCAAGAAATGTGTCTTTCTTGGGTATGCTCAAAACCAGAAGGGTTATTGTTGTTACGATCCAATGTCAGGGATCAGGTTTGTCACTATGGATGTCACTTTCTTTGAGTCTACATACTTTTTCTCTAGTGGTTCTCCTTAGGGGGAGTGTTTTGGGGGCAGAGCTCATAGCCTATTCCTCTTCCTCTTCCTAGCCCTTCATCTGCTCCATTAGCTCCACCATCAACTCCTCTAGTGGTACTACCTGACCCATTACAACATGCCTCACAGTTCTTTCAGCACCAATGCAAAAGGGTTGACTCCACACATGCTACACCAGGAGAAGTCGCATCACACTATGTCAATCCATTCGAGATTCCATGCTTAGCTGATATAATTCTAGGTTATTTCCCTTGAGCTTGCTATTGCTTCTAGTTCCATTAATGATACTTTTGTACCTAACACTGATGCTGTAGTTGGTCTTGATCTTCCCATTGAACTCCGCAAGGGAAAGACAATGTGTACAACCCATTGCATTTCACATCATCTTTCCTACAGTGTCCTATCTCCTTCCTATCATGCCATCATTTCTTCCCTAGACTCTATATC